TTTCACGATATTGATTCTTCCTATCCATGAGCATGGTATGTTCTTCCATTTGTTTGTGTCCTCTTTTATTTCACTGAGCAGTGGTTTGTAGTTCTCCTTGAAGAGGTCCTTTACATCCCTTGTAAGTTGTATTCCTAGGTATTTTATTCTCTTTGAAGCAATTGTGAATGGAAGTTCATTCATGATTTGGCTGTTTGTCTGTTACTGGTATATAAGAATGCTTGTGATTTTTGCACATTAATTTTGTATCCTGAGACTTTGCTGAAGTTGCTTATCTTTGCTGGAACTTTTCATAAGGAAACTCAGGTTATAATTTCAAAAACCTTTTGAAGCTAATAAATCAAGCCAAGAACTGGCCATCAGACTTCACTTCTGGTACTTATAGATTTGAATGAATTCCTCTCTTCTTGAGGTTCCCAAGATAGCCCATCTTCCCTGGGCCTGCTAGGAAGTGATCTTCCTTACTCATCTGTAAGGCTAGGAACCCTAGAAGCCAATTATTATTGGGCCAGCTTTTTCAAGATAGCTTTGTAAAAATTGGTTCTATAAAACTAACTTCAATTCCATAACTTGGATTCTATACACATCATTCTCAAATATGACATTGAAGGCAAAGCATTATAAATATAACCAATGTTTCCAATTGTGTTCTGTTACAAAGAGAACAGATTCTTATTAAATTCAGGTAAATAACTGTATTGCCAGGAAAATAAGAATACTCAATAGTTTACAAATTCTAGAAGGATCGGGGAGAAAATATTATATTTACAAAAGTATAATCTACTGATTTTTACAAGTGTAAATGTTACTGAGTAAGCAATGGCTTCTCTGCCCAATGTGGCACAAGTATTTGAGAAAATAAAGGTTTTATTGTGAGTTAATTGGCAAGGAGACATAAGCCAGTGATCAAATCTGCCTCTGAAGACTGGGGACTGGGGCAGGTTTTATAAGCAGAGGGTAACAAGGTGTGAGCTGATTGGATCTTACAATGAGATGATGCCATGAGGCATGATCTGACTGGATTGTGCCATGGGGTAGTGTCAGGACTTGATCTGATTGGATTATGTCATGAGATATCCCCTTCTTAATTAAGTCCCTGATTTGTGATCCTAGAATTTAGTTTCTGACTACAGTTACACGTGGTTTATCTGAACATAAGCAGTTTACATAATTGCAACCCAGAATCCATGGCAACTGAAAAATAACTCACCATTTTATTATTCAAAGTTGAACCAGATTGGGCTTGTTCTGTGGTTCCATAAATATGAGAAAAATGAAAAGAGTGCTTATATCCAGAAAGTAGAGCATTAAAGAACCAACAAACTTTCAAACAAAACCATAATCACTTTTCTTCAGTTCATTATCATCCATCAGAACAAATAATTTTTGTTCTCCTTGCTCTTGGGTTAGGAATTTCATAAACCCATTGCCTTCTCTACTCTAGTTCTGAAAATCCTTAATTCAGTACTATACTATGGTCTCTAAATTAATCAACACCATCGTGAAGCATTATGACTTGTAGCTGATTGCAAATATTTTTGGAAAGAATCAGAATATGAGTGAATGACAAAAAATTTAAAATGGAAATTAACATGTAATGAGAGTTCAATATAAAAATGACCCAAAGGACAAGATAATTTGGCTATTTTTGAGGCATATAATATTTTAAATAAAAATTAGAGCCACCCCTAATGATATTATACCAAGATATATTGTGGACAGAAGGGATGTTGACAAATTTCTAGGAATTTTATGTAATTTCTAAAATGCCTAATGTTTGCCCATAAAAAAATATAATTTAGGGAAGGTTAAAGTATCTTATTTGAAAGTGTTTTTTCATGCAATGCAATGTATCAATTAAATAAACCAAACTATTTTTAGCATTTCTCTTTACAAGGTGAAAAAACAATTTTTTTGAAATTATTCAGGGTCCCTTCGAGAAATTTCAAGACCAGTTCGAGAACAAGATTTTGCTTAAGATTTGTTTTGAAAAGGCAACACTGTAAAACAGGTAAAATGTTTTAGTGCTTTTAAATTGCAAGCTCTCAGTTCTCTTAAATAATCAAGGCCAATGGTAAAGGTTAACATAAACACAGAAAACTATCTTGATAAGACACAAAATCTTGGCTTCCTAGGAAGATTACTTAAAAGGTAAAACAAACAAAAAGACCTTTTACTGTAATCCAAGAAAACGGGCATTTTCAACAGAAAAAAAAAAAAAACAAACTAGTTTTGCATTATTATAGCATTGGGCTCTCTTCTTTTTCTTCTTCTCCTTCTCCTTCTCCTCCTCCTCCTCCTTCTGCTGCTGCTTCTTCTTCTTCTTCTTTTACAAAACTTTGTAAATAAATCTGTTCAATCTTACCAGCTTAAACATATAAAATTCTTTCTTCCATGAACTTTTTACAACTTTCTATATCTGTTTAGCTTTTGTCCTTCTCTCTCTTTTTTTTCTGATTTGGCACAACTAATCATTTTACTTTAGGACAAAATTACCCTCCTGTTCCCTTGACAAAAAATACATTCTTCATACATCGAATTATTTTTCTTGAAAACATATCGTAATATCCTTGCATACTCTACATACAAAGATGTTTCTCTTCATGGTTGTTATTTCTAGTAGTTTTAATTACATATATTGATGATCGCTTTTGACCATTAGTAATATTTCTTTTGACTGAGAAAACTAGGAAGAAGATGACTGTAAGTTGTCTGTCTTGCATTATGTAGCAGACTAGCAAATTTTATGAATGCATCATCTCAAAATTTCTTATAGGTTCATGCCTCCTCATAGCACAATTTTTATGTGACAAAATAACATGTTTATTAACAGGTCCAAATATCTTTAGTCTCATTTTAAAAATAAAATGCTAAAAAATCTATAAAATTAAACCTAATGCTTAACAATTAGTGTTTCAGTAGTTCATATTACTTAGAAATGACCTAGATATTTAATGGATATTTATTACTTAATACAGCTTAGAAAAACTTTAAAGCTTCAAGTTAACAAAAATAATTTGGAAACTGTTTTTGGCAACGATATTGTAATACAAGGCAAAGCTAGCCGCAATCTCAACTTACTTCCCTGTTAACTGTTTTTACAGTTAACATCATCATGGTAGGCAAGCATCACAAAAGCAAAAACCAACGAAGTTAAACACGCAGTTTTGGGTTTTATGGCTGTCTTGAGAAATATGAAGTAATGGGCATCAAACAACTCTTCTTTACTGTTCCTTTACTTGTATATTTATTCTAAGGTCAAACTGATAATTGTTTATATTCCTAAATATCTAGAAGACATATTACCTGATTCAACTAGTAAGCCCAAGTAGAATAAAAATGTATGTTCATATTATACTGAATGCTGATATACCAGAAAATGTAGTTGTTTTTACGAAACAAACAATATGAAGCTAGTATTAATTGTCAAATATACATCCATTTCATGTGAATTTGAAAAGTATTTGAATTAGTTACTGAGAGTTTTAGAAATATTTGCCTTATATAAGCACAAATTTATCTCTGAAAATTGGAATAGAACTTAAGAAAATTTAGGCCAGGTGTGGTGGCTCACACCTGTAATCCTGACACTTTGGGAGACAAAGGTAGGAGGATTGCTTGAGCCCAGGAGTTCTAGACCTGCCTGGACAGCATGGTGAGACCCCACCTCTAGAAAAAAAATTGAAAATTAACTTGGCATGGTTGCACATGCCTGTAGTCCCAGCTACTTGGGACGCTGAGGCAGGAGTATCCCTTGAACGCAGGAATCTGAGTCTACAGTGAGTTGTGATTGCACCACTGCACTCTAGTCTGAGTGACAGAGTGAGAATCTGTCTCTAAAAAACAAAAAGAAAGTACTAAGTAATTTGATAATACCATCCATAGAGAAATCTCATATATATTATGATATATATTATCATGTATACTACATATACATATATAATATATATTCTCTCGATTTACAGAATGGGATATATATATTCTATACATATAGGTATTATATATGAATATATATTGCATATATATAATGTAATGTATACATATATTATAAGAGATCGTAAAGGTTTTATTCTAAAACTTTAGCCAGGAGTTAGACAACACAGTAATACTCTCTTATGTCCTCTACTTTATAGTTTTATCCATTGCGTTTCTGACAGATGCAACAAGTTAAGGTTACCTTCTCAATAGAAGACACATTTAAGATTTTCTTTTGCCCATATATGCAATATTATGGAGGCTGTGACTACATTTTAGGCAAGAGACTGAAAGAACATCAAGCACCTATCTGGATGTCTTCAAAGCCTCATCTGGATAAAATATCCAAACTATTTTTCAATCAGTCTTTTTTTTCCCCCTTTTTCAACCTCAGACAATTGCTTTTGGGGTCCTAGAGTCCCTTGAAAGTTATGATGGAAATAGGAGACCTAAAGTTCAGGTGATTGAATGGCTGAAGCAGGAAGGAAAAACGTCTGGGAGGACAGGTAGGCAGAGGGAAGAGGTCTGAAAAGGCACGTGTCAAAAGATTCAAGAAAGTTGAAGGGTAGATTGAAGGTAGTAAAAGGATGAATGGGGAGCAGAAACAATGGGAAGGAAGAGATCTCAGAAGACTCACTTCGGGAAAATCTTCAGTTTCCCAAAGAGATCCTGAAGTCTCAAATTATCCTTAGCAAAACCATGACCACAAGTAAGGAAGTGGAGTATACGATCAGTAAGGGTTTAAGAAGGGGGTTTCTGTTGACTAAAAAGTTACCATGGGAGAAATAGGATCAAATAGAACAGAGTGGCCTCACAAATAATCAAGGAAAATATTTCAGCTCAGGGATTCAAGAAGTAAATTCCCACTCAAAGACAGAAACAGGAAGTAAGACTTAACAATCCAGCCAGTACCTTCCTAACAAAGAAACCTGTGACTAAACCAACTTCTTAAAAAAAGAAACAGGACTAACTCAGCCTTTGTATAGTGTACTCAGACTGTCTCTACATTAACTGTACTTCAACAGACTATCATTTGGAGCACTGGCTCAGCAGTCTAAATCGCCAAGGGCTCATCCATCAATCAACCAGAAGTGAAGACAATAGCTTCAAAGGTAGGTGCTTGGGATTCTGGGTCAGAAGATTGGGAATCTAATAATGAATTTGATCCTATACTATACAAGTCACAGCAACAAAAACTGTTAAAGGAAAAATAATAACACTTGTTAAAGATGGCAGTTTAGACTTTATTCAAGGGATTTCAAGGGTCTGCTGCCATGAGGTATTGAAGTAGGAGAAAGAGATTGTTCTCAATGCTGAATACATCAAAGACAAATTGGGAATTTATAGCCAAGGAGAAGAATGCAAGTTAGTGTATTGAAAATCATGAAGAAGATAGATCATTTTTTGCGAAACTGACTTAAAAGGATTTTTACTGATGGCAGGGCAGGGAGATCATATATTACCTAGGGGATAGTGGTGGGTGAGCAATTTGATCAGATATTGAGGGATCGGATATGGAAGATAGGGGATTCTGGCTAAACTGATTTGACAGGATAAGCAAATTGTCCTCTCTTCAACAAAATTATGAGCCATTGAAATTCCCAAGGGTATAGTGTCTTCATGGTGCAAACGCAAGAAGAATCCAAAGTAGTGATAAGCATGAGCCTGTTAGAAATATACTAGAAATATGAAATCACAGCTTACAAGAAGGGTATGTTGCAGGTTCTGGCATGATGATTGGGGAGCAGTTGATAAGGCATTGTAGATTTGGTAGGCATATACTTTTAAAATTGGAAAAATTAGAAAGAAAATCTTATTTAGCTATGTTTAGATGCTTAACAATATTTCTAATAAAGTTGTTTCAACATAATCATTTTTATTCCTACTATTCATAAAATTTCTTAAAATATTATCAAATAAAATTTGATAAAAATGCTTTATTAGATCTAGACAATACAAATTATTTACTTCTCTTCTATTTTCTGGAGTAGCTTGTGTAGAGTAGGTGTACTTTTTCCTTAAAATATTTGGTAGAATTCACTAGTGAAGCCATATGGACAAGGAGTGTTTTGAGAGGGATGTTTTAACTGCTTATTCAATTTTATTAATACATAAATAATTATTCTGTGTTGCAAGGAATTTATCCATTTCATTTAAGTTGTCAAACTTATTAGCATATTTTTTCAAAACATACAATTATCCTGTAGAATCTTTAGTGATATGACACGTGTCTCATTCATGATATTAATAATGTCTTTTCTTTTTTCTTGATCAATATGGCTAGAGGAATATATATTTTATTGATCTTTTTGAAGGACCAGCATTTGTTTCTATTTTTTTGTTATTCATTGATTTTTACTCTTACTTTTGTTGTTTTTGTCTGTTTACTTTTTGCCTAATTTGCTCTTCTGTAGCTTACTTTGGAGATAGTTTGCCCTTTTTTTTCTAATCTCTTTTACAATTATTTGTATTTATAATTGACACAATTTTACATATTTCTGTGGTACAGTGTGATATTTCAATGATTGTGTATACCTTGTACAATGATCACATTAAGGTAATTAGCATATCTGTCACCTTAAACAGTTTTTTTGATGATAACATTCTAAATCTTCGCTTCAGGATATCTTGATATATACACTGCATTGTTATTATCTGTAGTCACCCTAATGTGTAATAGACTGCAATAACTTATACTTACTGTCTAATTCTAACTGTGCCTCTTACCAGCTCAGCTTGCATCTCCCCTCCCAGCCTCTGGTAATCACTATTCTACTTTCTGCTTTTACGAGTTCAACTTTTTTAGATTTCACAAATAAGTTAGATCATGCAGTCTTTGTTTTTGTGTGCCTGGCTTATTTCACTTAACATAATGTACTCTAGGTTCATCCGTGTTGCTGCAAATGACAGGATTTCCTTCTATTTTATGGCTAAATAGTATTCCATTGTGTGTGTGTGTGTGTATGTGTGTGTATAAATTTTCTATGTGCATTTGAAAAGAAGAACTTGTTGGGAACTGGAGCAAAAGTGACTCTTGTTATGTTTTAGGAAAGCAACCAGCAGTATTTTGTCCCTGCCCTAGAGATTTATGGAACTTTGAACTTGAGAGAGATGATTTAGTGTGTATCTAGTAGAAGAAATTTCTAAGAAGCGAGGCATTCAAGAGGTGACTTGTGTGCTGTTAAAGGCATTCAGTTTTATAAGGGAAGCAAAGCATAAAAGTTCAGAAAATTTGCAGCCTGACAATGCGATAGGAAACAAAATCCCATTTTCTAGAGAGAAATTCAAGCTGGCTGCAGAAATTTGCATAAGTAATGAGGAGCTGAATTTAATCACCAAGACAATGGGGAAAATGTCTCCAGGTCAAGTCAGAGGTCTTCATGGCAGCCCCTTCCATCACAGGCCTGGAGGCCCAGGAGGAAAAAAAAAGGTTTCATAGGTGAAACCCAGATTCCCAGAGCTGTGTGCAGTCTAGGAACTAGGTGCCCTGAATCCCTGTTGCTCCAGCCGTGGCTGAAAGGGACCAACATAGAGTTTGGGCCATGGCTTCAGAGAGTGCAAGCCCCAATCCTTGGCAGCTTCCATGTGGTATTGAGCCTGACAGTGCACAGTAGTAAATAATCGGGGTTTGGGAACCTCTGCACAGATTTCAGAGGATGTATGGAAATGCCTGGATGTCCAGGCAGAAGTTTGCTGCAGCAGTGGGGCCCTCATAGAGAACCTCCACTAGGGCAGTGCAGAAGTGAAATGTGGGGTCAGAGCCCACACACTGAGTCCTTACTGGGGCACCATGTAGTGGTGCTGTGAGAAGAGGGCCACGATCCTCCAGACCCCAGAATGGTAGATCCACTGACAGCTTGCACTGCGCACCTGGAAAAGCCACAGACACTTTATGCCAACCCATGATGGCAGCCAGGAGGGAGGCTGTACCTTGCAAAGCCATTGGGGCAGAGCTACCCAAGGCCACCCAAGACCATGAGAACCAACCTTTTGCATCAGCATGACCTGGATGTGAGACCTTGAGTCAAAGGAGATAATTTCAGAGCCTTAAGATTTGACTGTCTTGCTGGATTTTGGACATGCATGGGGCCTGTACCCCCTTTGTTTTGGCCAATTTCTTCCATTTGGAATGGCTGTATTTACCCAATGCCTGTACCTCCATTGTATCTAGGCAGTAATTAACTTGGTTTGATTTTACAGTCTCATAGGCTGAAAGTACTTGCCTTGTCTCAGATGAGACTTTCATGGACTTTTGAGGTAATGCTGAAATGAGTTTATACTTTGAGGGACTGTTGGGAAGGCGAGCTTTTTTGGAATGTGAGGACATGAGATTTGGGAGGTGGAATGATATGGTTTGGCTGGTTCCCCACCCAAATCTCATCTTGAATTGTAGCTCCCACAATTCCTGCATATCAAGGCAAGGGCCAAGGGGAAGGTAATTGAATCACGAGGGCAGGTCTTTCTTGTGCTGTTCTCATAATAGTGAATAAGTCTCACAATATATGATGGTTTTATAAAGAGGAGTTCCCCTGCAAAATCTCTCTCTTTGCCATCCGTGTAATATGTGACTTGCTCCTTCTTGCCTTCCACCATGATTGTGAGGCCTCCCAGCCATGTGGAACTGTAAGTCCATTAAACCTCTTTCTTTTGTAAATTGCACTCTCTTGTGTATATCTTTATCAGCAGCATGAAAACAGATTTATAGACTGCTATTGTTTGGTGGAGTGTTTCATAAATCCCAAGTAGATTAATTTATTTGATAGTGTTTTAAATATCTTTGATATTTACTGGTTTTGTGTTTGCATATTCAGTCAATTACTGAGGGATGAATATTGAAATAGAGGACTTCAATATTCATTTATTGAAAATGAATGAATTTATTTATTCTCTTTCTTTCCTTTCTTCCTCCTTTATTTATTCCCTTTATTCTCCTTTCCCTTATGTCAGATTTGCTTCAGGTATTTTGAAACTCTTATGTAGCGCATGCACATTTATGCTTCCTTCAAAAAATTAATATTCATCAATTACTAAATGTTTACTTTGTATGATATTAATATATCTGGTCCAGCTTTCCTTTGATTAATATTTATCCCTATTCTTCCCTTTATTATTAACTCATTTTTGTCTTTATCATTAAAATGAGTTTCCTGTAGATAGCTGTATCAGTTATCTAATGTTGCCAAAGAAAACACTCTGAAATTTAATGCCTTAAAACATTTTTGATCTCACTTTTCCTGTGACTCATAATTTAGACAGCAGTTTGGCTGGATGTTTGTCCCTCTCTGTGCTTAATTTGTATTATTTCTACTGTTGTATCTTCAGTGGCTCATCTTTTCTCCTGCTATTCCTTATCTACTAGCCAGTATATTTGCATTTCGCACATATTTTTCATCTCTAGAAATTCTGTTTTTGTTTTTATTGAAATATTTCATTTCTGTCCTTAAAATTATCATTGTTCTTCTACTTTGCACCTATGGGACATATTTATGATAGTCTTTTTCTTTTAATTCTATCCTTTTTCTTTTTAATTCTATCCTTTTTCTTTTAATTCTATCATCTCAATTATTTCTTGATTTTTTTTTCTCTCTGATTAGTTTCAGCCTAGTTATAGACTATATTGTCCTTGATTTAAATGGTAATTTTTGCTGGATCGTGGATATTGTAATTGTTATGTTCTTAAATTCTAGACATTGTCTTATGTGTTTAAAGAGTGCTGTACTTTGTACTAGTATGGAGTTAAGTTATGTAAAATTATTTGATGCTATTGATGCTTATTGTTAAGCTTTCTTTAGGACAGGCTTAGATTATTGGCCCAAATACTAAGGTAATATGCTTCTGAGTATTCTTTTTGTTGTTGTTTGTTTTGAAACAGGGTATTACTCTGTTGCATAGGCTGGAGTGCAGTGGCACAATTACAGCTCACTGCATGCAGGCTTGACCTCCCAGGCTCAAGCAATGCTCCTGCCTCAGTCTCCCAAGTAGCTGGGACTACAGGTGTGCACCACTGGAGCTGGCTAGTTTTCTTATATTTTGTAAAGACGGGGTCTCACTATGTTGCCCAGGATGGTTTCAATGTCCTGGGCTCAAGCTCTCCTTCTGCCTCAGCCTTCCA